GATGTTTCCTACGAGGAAGGACCAGTTCAAATCCTTGACACACAACAGAAGGTGTTGAGGAACAAGATGATACCAATGGTGAAAGTTCTTTGGAGACACCACGGAGTCGAAGAGGCTACTTGGGAGCTTGAACAGGAGGTTTGCTCCAAGTATCCAATGTTGGTTTCTTCCCCAGGTATGGCTTGATTTCGAGGACGAAATCTTTTAAAGTTGGGAAGAATTTAATGCCTGTGTCTTATGTATATGTGCATATGTGTATATAATTGTGTGTGTATGGTGTGAATTTAAAGGCAAAAGAAAAAGAGAAAAGAAAATAAAAATGGGTGGGACCCACTAATGTTTTAAAGTGGCCATAAGACCACGTTTTTTTTTTTTTTTTTTTTTCTTGTTCTCTGTTATCTCTTCTCTCTCGCAGCCTCTCTGCTTCTCAGTTTTCCTTTTTTCTTTTCTTTTTCCCACAAGCTTCCACTCTTGATTAATTCCTCAATTCTTGGTATTTTGAAGAGCCGTTTGCGACTATTCGAAGCCCACGACGAGATCAACACGTTGATAGGAGCAATTCCTTGATTGGTGCACTATAGGAGATTCGAAATTCTAGGGTTTGAGGTGAACAAATTAGGGGTTTTGCATATAATTGAGGTAAGGGTCTTTAACTCACATTTTCTTGTTCCTTTGTGGGTTAATTCATAGCAATTGTTATTAATTTGTCTAATTGATGGTAATTGCCCTAACATGATTTTTTTTATGTGTAAAGTTAATTTCTAGTAATTATTATTAATTTGTCTAATTGATGGTAATTACCCTAGCATGATTGTTTTTTTGTAAAGTTCATGATTTTATATTTACATGTTGATTTGTATGAAAATAATGTTTAAATGTTGTTTTATTATGTCTATAAAGTTATAAATTATGCTAGAAATGATGTATGAATTCTTGTATGATTTTCTTTGAAATTTGAGCAAAGGATGACTAGTTGTGTTATATGAAAATTTCCTTTTTTCCATAGTAATGTAGGTATGAGACATACATGCATGTCATGGGGCATAAGAAAGGGTAAAGTGATTTGAAGTGGATAAGAATGGGTTTTTGGGAAAAATATTTTGAGAAAAAGATTTTGTGAAAAACCCGGCCGCCTAGGAGTTGTCTAGGGACTGTGGCGTTAGTGAGGTCTAGAGGGGACTAGGAAAATCATCCTAGTGTGGTTGAGTTACCTGGGCCCCAAATGACGCCATGGAGTTGCCATGGGTCAGGGACAGTGACCGATCCTCCTCTCGTGCCGCCATGGAGTTGCCATAGGACGGGTTCACTAACGGTTTGAAAATGATAATGGAAATGGTTTTGGAAAATGGGGAGTGGCATTGCATCTCATGGCATATCATTGCATGGCAAATTCATTTGTGGTATCGGATTAATGATGTGGCATGGTGGTTATATTTTTTCTCGATATGGTATGATCCCAATTTCTTTATTCCTATTCATGGTGTGAATTCACGGGACCATAAGAGGTGCGTTTTAGGCACCACCTACTGAATAATTTTGCTCACCCTAATATTTAACATTTTTCAGGAAACGGGAAAGAAGTGGCAGATAACGTACCACCACAGGCTTAATTTGGATTAGAAGATTATTTTGCTTTTTTTGTATCTAAGTCCCATATTTTTGTAAAACCTTATTTTGTCATATTTAGTATAGAGATTTGTGGACTCTTGCCATTATAGTTATATTTATGAACTTTAATTATGATAATTTGGATTAAATGGTATGTGGATGTTCCACCATGAGATGAACTATGTTGAGGCATAATGAGCTGATGAATGGGATGCTGGGATATATTATTTGTATTGTGTGTTGTGTGATGTTTCTGATTTTTCAGCATTTTCATTTTTCCAATAATTCGTGGAGACAAGGGTATTTCTGTCTTTTTGCATGTTGTGTTCGGGATTGTGGTTGGGTCCATTTGCATTGTGCATTTTAAATTATGTGGATTAAGTAGTATTTGCATGTGGTTCACTTGTGTGTGTATGTAGTGTAAAATTAGAGCAAAAAGAAAATGGAAAATAAAATTGGAAATTGGCGGGACCTACCATTAACCACAAAGTGGTCTAGAGACCACATTTCTTCATTCACATTCTCTCTCTCTCCCGTAGCTTCTCTCCCTCTCTCATTTTCCTTTTCTTTTTCTTTCCACTTGAAAGGCAATCTTTGAGTTTTGATTATTCTCTCAATTCTTGGCGGATTAAGGTGCCGTTTGAGGCAAAACGGAGAGCACGACGAGCTCTATGCACTCATACCAACAATTTCAGTTTTGAGCCTTCCTTTGGAGTTCGAATTTGAGGACCCATTTCAAGGTTGTCCATTTTCGAGGTAGGGGCCCTTAATCCACTTCCTTCTTGTTCCATTGTGAGTTATATCTCCTTTGTGTGATAAACATGCTTAATTTGAGAGTTAATTGTTTCAATGTTGTGTAATTGATGTCTAGAAAAATTCATGATTTTGATTATGATTTGTTATATGTGAAAAGCATGTTGTGGTGATAGTTTTGTTGTGTTTAATGTGTTGATGACTCAATTGATGATGTTGAATATGGTATATGCTTAGTTGTGAAGTAATTATGAAATGTAAAACTTCTACATGCCATAATATTGTAAGCTTGAGACACATATGCATGTACATGCCATTGGGTTGCATGAAATAGGAGAAATCATTTTTTGAAATGAAAACGGGAATTTTGGGAGAAGAGTTTTTGTTAAATGGTTTTGATAAACCCGGTCGCTGCGGGGTTACCAACGGGCCGGAGGTTAATATAGCCTAGAGGGGACTAGGGAGTCGCCTTAGCGTGGTTGAGCTAGCTGGGCCCCATAATGACGCCGCGGGGTTACCAAGGGTCAGGGACACTAGCCAATCCTCCTCTCGTGTCACGGCAGGGTTACCAAAGGGCGGGCTGTATTAACAGTTGGAAAGTATGGTTTTGAGAAATGAAAATGGGGAGTGACATATCATGCATTGCATTTCATTACATTGCATTGTTTACACTTGAATTGACATTGAAGTTGTTTTAACCCTAAATTGCATGATCCCCATTTCCTATTGGCTTATGCTTTGATTGGATTCACAAGGACACAATATGTGTGTCTTAAGTGTCACCTACTGAGCATATAGCTCACCCTATTATATATTATTTTTTTCAGGTCTTGGAAAAGAACCGACGGATGCCAATCCACCTCAAAATTGAAAGTTGTTAGAAGATGATTTTTGCTATTTTGTTTTCGGCCATTCCATGTATAAACATAGTTTTTGGAGAATGTAAATAATTTTGTAAATGTTGGCCATTGGATAATGTAATTAAGTTTTATTCAAACATAAATCTTCTAGTGTATTTTAGTGACGTGTGGTAAATTACGTTAATAACGTGGTTGTTGTACTCCAATTTATTGTTGAAATGTATTAATTTTGCACGTAAGTGTTGTGATGTGGGTGGTTGAACGACCAAAAGTTGGTGTATTGGGGTTAAACAGGATAATGGAAAGTGGGAGTGAAGAATTTCAAGAACCGGTTCGACGTATAACCCAAACCGGTTGATCGGTATCTTCACAGTATGTTTGAGTTGTTAACGTCCTAAACCAGTCGACGTATGGCATCCCATACGTCGACCGGTACCCCAAACCAGTCAACCGGTATCCCAAACCAGTCGACCGGTATGTTGGCAGTGGGTTTTCCCATTGTTTATATCCCAAACCAGTCGACGTATAAGGAGTATATGTCGACCGATTCTGCCTTTTCATGTAATTACCAATTTAATTCTTAAATTACACTTGGCACCCAATTGATGTTGCAAGTAATTACATTATGACCCAATTAAATGCCATAATAATAATAATTATTATTATTATTATTTTTTGCCCCGAACCTTATTTTATTTACTTCGTGATTCAAGTAAATGACTGTTTTACCCTTGAGTCTCAATGTATGGATTCATGGCAAATTACCAATTTGCCCTTTTTGGACCTTGTTATTTAATTTTGACGTGAAATGACCATTTTACCCTTAGATGATTTTGGGTCGGGTAAGGACCCGTTTAATGATCCGGATCCATGAGGATTTGGGTCGTTACATGTTGGGACAGGTTGGATAGGTCTTGAAAGACCATTGCATCTTTTTTTATTTGAGCAGGTTGTGGTAGGCCCCTTTTTAGGGGAGGTCATGTCGATTTTTTTTTTTTTTATTTAAAAAATGGGATCAACTTAGGGTCGTTACAAAAGCCGGGTGATACAAGTTGTTTATCGAAAATGAAAAAGGGTCGTGTATCGGCCGATACATCGCATATACTAATATAATACCACCACATAATAAAACTTCCAACAATTAAATTATACACATTGAAATAATGCATGACATGCAAGGCTCCCGTGACACCACCCCTGTACAAGACAATTTCTGTGGCGGGTCCCACCCGGGATTTTCAGGCTCGTAGAACAGAAAAATGCCAAAATGGCAACCGGTGCATTTTCAAGAGTCCTAAACTCAATGGAATGCCCCAACCAACTCTTGGACACACCCGGTACACCTACGGTGTCCAGCACGCAAAACGAAAAAAGACCAAAATGCCCCTACAAATACAGAAAATTTCAAAAAATGAAAAATGGCGAAAATCAGAAACATCACAGACATGGGTTTTGAACTTTTGATTCTTGCACACAGATAGATAAACTGAAATATATGGTTTTGAACTTCTGATTATCGAGAACGAGAATAGAGATGGAGGCGATTAGGGAGGCTGAAATGATTTGCCCTAAAAATATTTTGTAGTTTGTTTTTTTTTTTTATGTGGGAGAAAATGCAATGAATGGTAAAGATGGGAAGCTGATTACGAAATCAACGATACTCAAGAGTCAGAGTTAAAGTAAGATTGGGGAAGCTAGAAGTGGGTTGGGTTTCGTTCAATGGAGGTTAAGAATTGCTAAAATATAACATTTTGGATGAAATGCACCATTAGAACAGAATTGCTAAAATATAGTATTTTGACACTGTATCTCTTCTCAAAATATAGATTTGACATACAAAAATAACATTTTGCATTAGAGATAGTCTAATAATACCTAAAGAAGCCAACAGTAAGTAAACACCTGAGCTTGCTTGCTTCTCTGATAAACATGTGCAGCTAAAGATACAACTTTTACACACATTATAAATTAAGCAAGCCTATAATAGTAAAACACAAACTAATGTGCCAACAATACATAAAGAAGCCAACAGTAGCAAACACTTGACAGAAAGTTGAAATGCTAGATATCCTTAGCAATTACCAATTGCTGACTACAGGAATCTTCTCATACATTTCCGATTCCCTGAACCTCCGAGGAAGGATACAACGACCCCCAAATCGCTGCTGCAAGGAGATGATCACTGCAAAGAACATACCCCCACAAGGGATGATCACATCCCAAGCAGTGGAATAGAAATCTGCAGTAGGATTCGCGTAAATGTATGACCCGTCAAATTGCTGGGGAACGAAGTGAGTCCTGTAAAGATCATATGCATGTGGCAGCAATCGAACAAAGGTAGTGCCAATGTAAAATGAACGGGAGAGAGCATTTTCTCTTGACATTTGGAAAATGTTGAGAAGGATTTGAGGGAACAGAAAACCATCAATGACCAAACCACCATAAGATCTCAAATCTCCCCAGAGGTTATGTTGTTGGTAAACAGCAACGTGAGAAGACACCGTTGTGTTGCCATTTTTGTTCTTCATCCAATTCACGAACAACACCATAAGTGCCCCTGAAATGTAGAATGCTAGAGTCGCAAATAGTGACTTCATTTCAGCAACCCACAGGCCCTTTTGGTTTCCATCACCTAATCGTGCAGACCATGCTAGCGGGAGAAGACGGAATTGCAGTAGGAAAGCCACCATTGTAATTATCCTCACGGTCACCTCATCCACTTCAAGCCATACACCGGTCCTAAGAAACATATTTTGCCCATTATGAATTTTGAAGAAGAGGGCTTCAAAGTTGAGCAGAAGAGGAATCATGTACCCCAAAGTAAGGATCACAAGCATGACAAGTGAAGTAAAGGGAAGCACATTAGGGCGCTTTTTGACATAAAAGATTTGCAACCCCACAAAGACACATGCGAGTGTGTTAGAGATTAAAACCATTATGATCTCCAAATCCATCCTCCAGATGGATCGTCTAGCTTCACTAGTATAGTAAGCTGTTGCGGAGAAGTTCAAATGTTCAAAGAAAAGAGGATCTGAATGTTTCCTTGTGCTTTCAATGCTTCCCTTAATAACATCTCCCTTCTTTGAATTAAGTGGAGGGAACTGGAATTTCAAAAGAATTTCACAGTCCATATGATCATTTGTTGACTCCTGAATGTATGAACCCAGCTTTTTACAGCCGACCATACAGAGGTGTCCTGTTTGCTCATCATAGATCCCCTCACCAGAAATTTCCACTTCACCATCAGTACTCGGATCATGTATTTCACCAGCAAACGGATAAAACATTATGTTATAGCTGATATTTGATGGTCTAATATAGTTGGCTTCTGCCTCAAATGCAGAGCTTTCGTCAGCCATAGAGCTTGAACCGAAAATAACATTCCCATGCTCATAAAACTGATCACCCACAGAGATGGGGTCTGCAGAACCCCAAGAACTTCTTCCTTTTGAATCTTTTACCGACATGCGGAATCTCATATCATAAGAATCTGCAATTGGGTATCTCAGCCCTTTGTTTTCAAAAGGCTTCTTTACTGGACATAACTTTTTTACTCTATCCATTTCAGTGTAATCATACCCCAAACCAGGAACACCCAACATGTGATGGGAAAAGCCTCCAAAACTGATCCTATGGAAGTAGACAGAATCATTCGCAGTTCTGTTACTCCAAATTTGCCCAACAATACCCCTTTGTTTGATTGACCAGACTGCAGGGTATCTCAAGCTCAACCTAGTTGAACAATCCCCAACACGAGCATTTCCCAAAGAATCAGAGGAATTCAAGATCCGGCAAGCAACGATGCATAGCCGGTTCTTCTTTCCATCCCATGATCCTTCTGCAACCAACGTCGTGTTGGAATTGAAAGGTTGGTTATAAAGCCCATAGCTTCTATTTGAAAAATCTATCAGATACCTTAACTTTTGTAAATGCTGAGAACACTGAATCTCAGAAAAGGACATGAAAGTAGGCAAATACCCAATATCCTTGCCAAAAGGAGTACAATTATGTGAAGAATTGCACTCGCTGGCATACTCCAACTTAAATGGAGGGAATTGCGGCAATTGCCTGGAGTGCGTTGAACAAATACTTTCCGGTTGCAATCCAAGAGAATGATTATGTGGAATATCAATTCCATCAGGGAACCCACTATCTAATTCCTTCGAAACCAATGTATAATTGTAGTAACTCATGGAAGGGAAAGCCAATATTGAAACTGGATCAAAATAATTCGAATCATGAGAAGAACTCAAGCTCTCCAATGTTCCATTAACCAAACTAGTAAAGATAGTTGCATTCTTGGCAAAATTAAGCTGAAGAACAGCGTCAAGTTTGAGAGAGTTACCTTCTCTTGAGTGCCAAGATGCCGACCCCAGCATGCAAAGCTTCCCAGAAGATTCAGACCAGAATCCATTCAATAGGAATTTCAGTGGACCTCTCCCAGAACGATAATCATGATAGTAAGATTGGGAGAAGGTCAAGTAGGCCTCAATCTTATAAACACCACTGGCTTTGGTTTTATAAACTTTTCGGGTGGTACGAAAGGAGAGATACTTGGCGTAATCAAAGTAGAATTGATCAGACGAGGTGTTAACAAGAATTTTGTCACCACCAGTGTAGCGACCGTTGGGTATACGGAGGAGATGTGGCAAGGTGGTGTAGTCGGGATCGGTTGGGGTGGACCCGGGAACAATTGAATCACAGTGATCAGGGTAAGAGGGTGGAGTTGTAGAAGATGAGACACAGATTGTGGAGAGGACAGTGAAGAGAAAGAGAAGCCAGAAAGCATTAAAGCATGTAAGTTGATACCTCCTTTGTGAGGAGATGATTGTCAATAAAGAGTACTCCATTACCATAACCATAGAGTCTACTTGATTACCACATGCTGTGTGATGCCTCTTAACTTATAGAAGTGACGATAAGCGTCAAGCGTGGGAGATTTGTATCGTACTGTATATGAATAAGTATTTTCTTAATTCAATAATGGAGGAACAACACTTGAAAAAATTGTCATTAATTATGCAAAGTGTCTATTTTTGGAGTTAAAAATTGGGATGTTACGCTTAACCATCAGCGACCTGATATTTATATATATATATATATGTAAGAATGTATATGCTTCACGGTCTCACAGCAGAACTAGACTTGGACTGAGCCAAAGTCAAGTCATCTGAGCATTTTTTTCCTTATCCTCGAAATAAGAGATTCACGGTTTTTTCTTTGGAGAGTAATTAGGAGAGCGACGTTACATTAAAACATTATCTAATACGACAACGACCTAGTCAACATCAGGGAAGACTTTGAATTTTCGCGACAGAACCAAAGGAACGGCAAGAAGATAAGAAGAGTGATGAGTGATGGAAGTGGACTTGCCATGTGCACTTCATCTTCTGGTTGAGTGTCCGTGAAATTGAATTTGATAATCATTGTCAATTGATAACACTAAGGTATATCCGAGATAAAAGAAATAATAATATTAGTCATGAAAAAAATGAAAAGAAAAAGGGATGAAATGAAATATTAATAATAATTTTAATTTATATTTGGACTAATGGAAGAGAAAATAAAAAAAATGATATTATTTTTGTTTGAAAAGAAATAATTAAAATCAAATTATTATCATATTTTTTTTAACTAGAAGGGATATGAATAAAATAATAATTTTTTTTTTTTAGTTGTTGAGAACAGTTTCAAGGTTATGAAAATACTATTTAAATACTATCATTTCTCTTCTTATCTTCTTATTTATTTTTTTTTTTTGAGAGATATGAAATGAGGAATAAGAACCCATTCAAACACTGCGCGTAGCAAAAGCTAGGAGTGGCAAAGGCAAAACACAAGCCTAGCCACCAAAATACACTAATATCTTATTTGTTGTTTGATTTTGGGCATTGCAACTACACCTGTTGATGGATGGAATTTCGATATGAATCCTAATTTGTGTTGTTCTTACAAGTTCTAATTTTTATTTATTTATTTTTCCATCTTCTTTCTTATTACAAGCCCTAAAATTGCCATCCTCTTACTGAAGAAAGGGTACAAAAACCTATTCAACTCTTTTTTATTTTTTTATTATTATTATTTTTTTATATTCTTTTCTTGGTTTGAATTATTTTTTTATTTTTACGAAAATCATCTTCAGATTTTCTTTTTCTCTTTTTCCCACAAGTTTTTTTTCACGATTCTAATTGTTTTTCTTGATCTTTAATTTATTTCATGTGTGCAGTATTTTCTCTCTTTTCCCCTCTTCTTCTTCCTTTTTACAAGCTCTGAAATTACCATTAAGGAATTGTTCCTACAAGACCTAGATTTTTTTAGTTCCTGAACAAAGGGTACAAAAAACTTATTTAACTCCGTTTTAATCATCTTCAGGTTTTCTCTCACTTTTTTGCCCTCAAGTTATTTTGCAATGCTAATTGTTTTTGTTGTTCTTTAATTTCTTTGATTTGCGAAGGAGGGTATAACAAAATAATCGGATCGGACATTAAATAAATGGAATAATTGAATATAGATTGATTAACTAATGATTCGTTAGATTATCGAATTACCTATAATGTTCGGGCTGAATCCTGGCAAGCACATACGCATATCAATCAAATTAAAAGCCTCCAAACAGTAATGATATTAAAATCTAAATGAAAGGTCAAAGGTAGTACAAATAACATACCCAATTTCTAACTGAGGAATAAATTTGTGTGTGCATGGCAAGAAAAAAAATGCTTTACAAAATTGACTATGCTGACTGTGACTAATCCTGGCGCAAGCACATACGCATATCTACCATACTTGATCAAATTAAAAGCCTCCAACCAATAATAATATTAAAATCTAAAAGTCTTTCTAGTTTGTTAAAATACTATTTTGTGTAAAATATTCACTGTCATGTATAATGTATATTTTTTTATTTTTTATTTTTTATCTCCAGTAATGTGTTAAGATATACTGTCACATCATTAATGTGTTGAATTGCTGTGTATTTTACGTAACCCTTTTATACAACCACATCAACATATTTCCTTTTTCCTCCCTCTTCTCATTCCATTAACAAATCAACCCTATATTAAATAGGTTTGTAAAAATTATGTGGGGTTCAGACATGACAATGGTAGGTTGTTATTAAGAGATATATTTTTACACAAAAAGTATAAAACAACCGATGGAGCTAAAAATAAATAATCCAAATTTTTTGTGTAAATTTATTATGACACATCAAATTTACACAAAAAAATATACACAACGATTGGAGATCTCTAACAGTATAAATATATACATCTATATCTATATATACTATTCTAAAAGTGTAAGGAATTTCTTAATATTTTTAATTGTTTTTTTCTTCATAAAATGTCTAACTAACTAAACCTAGTTATTCATACCTCATTTACATTAATGTGCCGGAGTAAAAAAGTTAATTTCAATTTATATCATCTACATACTATTCTAATGAAAAAAAAAAAAAAAAATGTACATTATAATTGTATTAAAAAAATTGGGAGTTGAATAGTCAACAATTACAACTTTTTTAATTGCTCAAGAAAGTGCACATTATAATTGTTCTAAAAAAATTGGGAGTTTTTTATTTTTTATTTTAATTAGTTGGGAGTTGAATAGTCAACCTTTACAAGTGTTTTAATTGCCCAATATATATATATATATATATATATATATATATCTCTCTCTCTCTCTCTCTCTCTCTCTCTCACAGCAAAATATACTCTGCTACATTATATATTTTAGACATTCCCTCTCTTTCATTAGTATTTGTTATAAATTTATTTATTTATTTGTGAGTTTGGTGTAGATGTGTTTTTTATTTTTTTCATGGAATAAAAATCACTATTTCATTTTGATGAATTCCCATGGAGATTGATCATCTTGTTATGCATTCATGTTTTGGTCAAAATATTGAATTAAACTTAATTACACTGCATGATTGTTCGGAGGATTGGAAGGGAAAGTAGAGCAGAGGAAAAATATTAAAGCATGGCGTGAGAATGCTTGCTTTATTAAACTTTTTTTTATTATTATTATTTTATTTTTTTATGGATTAAAAATCACTATTTCATTTTGTTAAATAGTCATAGAGATTATCATTTTGTTATGTGTTCTTGTTTTGGTCAGAATATTGAATTAAGCTTACACTGCAGATGTGTAACGATCCCAAAACTAATGCTAAGAATTTTTTTTTTTTAAAAAAAATTCGGCATAACCTCCCCTAAAAATGGACCTACCGCAACCTGTTTAAATGCATATTTAACCTGTCATGCAACTAATTTCCGAATTCACGGCAACAAAAGATAATGATACAACCTACTAATTTAGACAATGCTTCAAGCTAGGATTATCCTTCCATTCATCAACAAGTTACATATCATCAAGTTCGCATCCCATATGTCATCAAGTATCATAAGTGTATTACATGATCATGTTTCTTCAAAATAAATTTACATCATTACACCTTTGGAATTTTACAAAAAATGAGGGATGAACAAAGGACTAGTCTATTACAAAATAACAAGGAAAATGCTCCTCTAGCAACTTTCAAAGTTGGGGTGGATTGTCGTCCACCGGTTCTTTTCCAAGGCCTGAAAAAAATATATATAGATATAGGGGTGAGCATATAGCTCAGCAGAGACACTTAAGACACAAATCTTGTGTCCTTGTGAATTCAAGCAAAGCATAGGCCAATGGGAGATAGGGATCATACAACGTAGGGGATCAAATACAACATACAATTCAATTCCAATTATAAACAATGCAATGCAATGCAATGAAATGCAATGCATGTCAATGACACTCCCCATTTTCATTCTCAAAACCATCACTTTCAAACGTTAATACAGCCCGCCCTTTGGTAACCCCGCCGTGACACGAGAGGAGGATTGGCTAGTATCCCTGACCCTTGGTAACCCCGCGGCGTCATTATGGGGCCCAGCTAGCTCAACCACACTAGGGCGACTCCCTAGTCCCCTCTAGGCTATATTAACCTCCGGCCCGTTGGTAACCCCGCAGCGACCGGGTTTCACATAAAATTACTTCATCAAAAACACTTTCCCGAAATTTCCCCTTTTTTGAAGTAAATCAATTCTTTCCCTTTTCCTGCCCAATGTTAATGCATGAATACCTCAATGACATACACAAGTTCATCATTCCATATTTTATCCAATTTAAGCAACATGGCATAATTCGCAAGAATAATCAAGAAAGTCATAACATGCTTATACATAACAAGTTCTAGCACAATGAACATATATAATCAAGTCCTAAACATGCTTCACATAGAACAATCAACAAATATAGTCACACAACTAACATATATGCATACATATCAACAATTCTCTAGATTTTAAACAACTAATCAAATTAAACAACAATTAGAGGCAATTAACTCACTAAGGTACAAGATTTCATGAATTAAGGGCCCCTACCTCAAGATTGCACCAAAACCCTAGAAAATGGGTACTCAAATTCGAGCTCCAAGGAAGACTCAAAACTGGAAATTGATGGTATGGATGTATAGAGCTTGACATGAGCTTCGTTTTGCCTCAAACGGAACCTAATTCCAACAAGAAATGAGTGAGAAATCTAACCTCAAAGTTGAAACCAAAAAATAAGAGAAAAATGAGCTTACGGGTTGAGAAAGAGATGCACGAAGAGAGAGAGAAAGGGAATCAGGAAAATGAGACCAACTTTATGGTCTTGAGCCTTTTCTAAAGTGTCTTGTGGGCCCCACCATTAAATTATTTTTCTTTTACTTTTATATTACACTACACACACACAATAAATACACAGACATCACATTCCCCCAACTTATAAGGATTTCGTCCCCGAAATCAAGACATACCTGAGGAAGAAAATAACGCTGGGTACTTGGACCGAACCCCCTGTTTGAGCTCCCAAGTAGCTTCCTCGACTCCGTGGTGTCTCCAAAGGACTTTCACCATTGGTATCGTCTTGTTTCTCAACACCTTCTGTTGTGTGTCAAGAATCTGAACTGGTCCTTCCTCGTAGGAAACATCCTCATCAATGTCCACATCTACCCAACTCAAAATGT